CTGAACGGCGTCGTCCGCCAAGGGGTGGATGTCGACCATCCCGGCCGGAGCAGCAGCCATTGTCTTCTGGAAGAAGAGCGCTTGCAAGGAAAAGGCCAGCGAAAGGAGCTTTACCTTCTGATGTCGGAGATGTATTGGTGAAACGTACGCTCGACTTTATACTGGTACTACCACTACTACTACCACTCCTACTGCTCCTACTAATACTACTACTACTACTACTACTACTACTACTACTACTACTACTACTACTACTACTACTACTACTACTACTACTACTACTACTACTACCTACGAGTACTGCCACGAATACGACTAGTACTAGTACTAGTACTAGTACTACTACTACTACTACTACTACTACTACTACTACTACTACTTTTCAGACTACTACTACTACGACAAATACTACTACGACTACTGCTGCTACTACTACAACTACCACTACGACCACTACGACAACGACACTAAGACCACTACGGCTACGACGGCTACTACTTCTACTACTACTACTACCACTACTGCTACTGCTGCTGCTATTACTTCTACGACTACTACTACTACTACTACGACGACGACGACGACTACTACTACGACTACTACGACTGCGGATAAAAATGCTACTTCTACTGACACTACTACTGCTACTACCACTGCTACTGCTACTATTGCTACTGTTGCTGCCTACTACTACTACTACTACTACGGCTACTACTACTACTACTACTACTACTACTACTACTACTACTACTACTACTAATGCTGCTACTACTACTAGTACTACTACTACTACTACTACTACTACTGCTACCGCTACCACTACAGCTACGACAGTTGCTACGACAACTGCTGCGACGACGACAACACCTACTACTACTACTACTACTACTGCCAATACTAGTGCTACCACTACTACTAATAATACTTCTTCTACTACTACTACTACTACTGCTACTACTACTTCTACCACTACTATGTCTACTACTACTACTACTACCATCACTACTACAACCGCTACTACTACACACTACTCCTACCGCTACTACTGCTACTGCCACCGCTACTACTACTACTACTACAACTACTACTACTACTACTACTACTACGACTACTACTACTACTACTACTACCACAAATACTACTACTATCACTACTATTACTATACTACTACTACTACTACTACTACTGCTACGACGACGACTACTACTACTACTTACTACTACTACTACTACGACTACTCTACTTTTACACGACTACTACTACTACTACTACTACTACTACTACTACTCTACTACTACTACTACTACTACTACACTACTACTACTACTACTACTACTGCTACTACTACTACTAACTACTACTACTACTACTAATAAAACTAATAATATGTACTACTGCTACTACTAACTACTACTACGACAAATCTACTGCAACCACGACTACTACTACTACTACTAACTACTACTACTACTACTACTACGACTACTACTACTACCACTACGAATATCACTCCTGCCGCTACTACGACTACTACTACTACTACTACTACTACTACTGCTACTCCTACTACTACTACTACTACTACTACTACTACTACTACTACTACAACTACTACTACGACTACTACGACTACTACGACTACTACGACGACTACTACTACTACTACTACTACTACTACTACTACTACTACTACTACTACTACTACTACTACTACTACTATTCCCCACATGTTTCGTGGGGTTATGGTTTTCTTCCCTGCCGCGCCGCACCCGCGACACACACCTCACTCTTCGTACAGCACAACTCAGCACAGCACAGCACAGCACATCACAACACAGCACAGCTCAGCTCAGCACACAGCTCAGCTCAGCTCAGCACACAGCACAGCTCAGCACAGCTCAGCACAGCCCAGCACGGCTCAGCTCAGCACAACACAGCACAGCTCGTGGCACTGGCGCTAAGAACAGCAAGCGTGGCACTTTCTCGACACCACAGGGGGTGCGCAAAGGGTGGTCTCTCAGCTCGGTCGCTATCCACGACCGACACCACAGGGGGTGCGCAGGGGGTGGTCCCTGAGCGCGGCCGCTGTCCGTGCCAGTCGCCCAGGCATAGCAGGCGTGGCACCTTCTCGACACCATAGGGGGTGCGCAGGGGGTGGTCCCTGAGCGCGGCCGCTACCCGTGCCAGTCGTCCAGGCATAGCAGGCGTGGCATCTTCTCGACACCATAGGGGGTGCGCAGGGGGTGGTCCCTGAGCGCGGCCGCTACCCGTGCCAGCCGTCCAGGCATAGCAGGCGTGGCACGTTCTAGACACCATCGGGGGTGCGCAGGGGGTGGTCCCTGAGCGCGGCCGCTATCCGTGCCAGTCGTCCAGGCATAGCAGGTGTTGCACTTTCTCGACACCATAGGGGGTGCGCAAGGGGGGGGTCTCTGAGCGCGGCCGCTACCCGTGCCAGCTCCAGGCATAGCAGGCGTGGCACCTTCTAGACACCATAGGGGGTGCGCAGGGGGTGGTCACTGAGCGCGGCCGCTATCCGTGCCAGTCGTCCAGGTTGCATGCGTGGCACTTTCTCGACACCATAGGGGGTGCGCAGGGGGTGGTCCCTGGGCGCTGCCGCTATCCGTGCCAGTCGTCCAGGCATAGCAGGCGTGGTATTTTCTCGGCACCACAAGGGGGTGCGCAGGGGGTGGTCCCTGAGCGCGGCCGCTATCCGTGCCAGTCGTCCAGGCATAGCAGGCGTGGCACTTTCTCGACACCATAGGGGGTGCGCAGGGGGTGGTCCCTGAGCGCGGCCGCTATCCGTGCCAGTCGTCCAGGCATAGCAGGCGTGGCCTTTCTAGACACCATACGGGGTGCGCAGGGGGTGGTCCCCAGCGCGGCCGCTATCCGTGCCAGTCGTCAAGCATGGCAGGCGTGGCACTTTCTCGACGCCATAGGGGGTGCGCAGGGGTGGTCCCTGAGCGCGGCCGCTATCCGTGCCAGCCGTCCAGGCATAGCAGGCGTGGCACTTTCTCGACACCATAGGGGGTGCGCAGGGGGTGGTCCCTGAGCGCGGCCGCTATCCGTGCCAGTCGTCCAGGCATAGCAGGCGCGGCACTTTCTCGACACCATAGGGGGTGCGCACGGGGTGGTCCCTGAGCGCGGCCACTGTCCGTGCCAGCCGTCCAACCATAGCAGGCGCGGCACTTTCTCGACACCATAGGGGGTGCGCAGGGGGTGGTCCCTGAGCGCGGCCGCTATCCGAGCCAGTCGTCCAGGCATAGCAGGCGTGGCACTTTCTCGACACCATAGGGGGTGCGCAGGGGGTGGTCCCTGAGCGCGGCCGCTATGCGCGCCAGTCGTCCAGGGCATAGCAGGCGTGGCATTTTCTCGACACCATAGGGGGTGCGCAGGGGGTGGTCCCTGAGCGCGGCCGCTATCCGAGACGGTCGTCCAGGGCATAGCAGGCGTGGCACTTTCTCGACACCATAGGGGGTGCGCAGGGGGTGGTCCCTGAGCGCGGCCGCTATCCGTGCCAGTCGTCCAGGCATAGCAGGCGTGGCACCTTCTCGACACCATAGGGGGTGCGCAGGGGGTGGTCCCTGAGCGCGGCCGCTATCCGTGCCAGTCGTCCAGGCATAGCAGGCGTGGCACTTTCTCGACACCATAGGGGGTGCGCAGGGGGTGGTCCCTGAGCGCGGCCGCTATCCGTGCCAGTCGTCCAGGCATAGCAGGCGTGGCACTTTCTCGACACCATAGGGGGTGCGCAGGGGGTGGTCCCTGAGCGCGGCCGCTATCCGTGCCAGTCGTCCAGGCATAGCAGGCGTGGCACTTTCTAGACACCATAGGGGGTGCGCAGGGGGTGGTCCCTGAGCGCGGCCGCTATCCGTGCCAGTCGTCCAGGCATAGCAGGCGTGGCACTTTCTCGACACCATAGGGGCGTATGGGGGTGCATCCACATGAGCGCGCGCCGCTCTCCGTGGCGTCCAGGGCAGGCGTTTTCTCGACACCATGGGGGGTGCCCATGAGCGCGGCCGCTATCCCCAGTCAACCAGGCATAGCAGGCGTGGCATTTTCTCGACCACCATAGGGGGTGCGCAAGGGGTGGTCCCTGAGCGCGGCCGCTATCCGTGCCAGTCGTCCAGGCATACCAGGCGTGGCACTTTCTCGACACCATACGGGGTGCGCAGGGGGTGGTCCCTGAGCGCGGCCGCTATCAGTGCCAGTCGTCCAGGCAGGGCAGGCGTGGCGCTGTCTCGACACCATAAGGGGGTGCGCAAGGGGTGGTCCCTGAGCGCGGCCGCTACCCGTGCCAGTCGTCCATGCATAGCAGGCGTGGCACTTTCTAGACACCATCGGGGGTTCGCAGGGGGTGGTCCCTGAGCGCGGCCGCTATCCGTGCCAGCCGTCCAGGCATAGCAGGCGTGGCACTTTCTCGACACCGCAGGGGGTGCGCAGGGGGTGGTCCCTGAGCGCGGCCGCTATCCGCGCCAGTCGTCATAGCAGCATAGCATGCACAAGCTGAGCGCGGCCGGCGTGGCACTTTCTCATAGGGGGTGCGCAGGGGGTGGTCCCTGAGCGCGGCCGCTATCCGTGCCAGTCGTCCAGGCATAGCAAGCGTGGCACTTTCTCGACACCATAGGGGGTGCGCAGGGGGTGGTCCCTGAGCGCGGCCGCTATCCGTGCCAGTCGTCCAGGCATAGCAGGCGTGGCACTTTCTAGACACCATAGGGGGTGCGCAGGGGGTGGTCCCTGAGCGCGGCGCTATCCGTGCCAGTCGCCCAGGCATAGCAGGCGTGGCACTTTCTCGACACCACAGGGTGCGCAGGGGGTGGTCCCTGAGCGCGGCCGCTATCCGTGCCAGTCGTCCAGGCATAGCAGGCGTGGCACTTTCTCGACACCACAGGGGGTGCGCAAGGGGTGGTCCCTGAGCGCGGCCGCTATCCGTGCCAGTCGTCCAGGCATAGCAGGCGTGGCACTTTCTCGACACCATAGGGGGTGCGCAGGGGGTGGTCCCTGAG